TTTAAATCTTTTGTTATCTTATTTAAAATCAAAATCAATGACAGTTCGATATATTACAGTTAAAATACTTTTTCATCTTTCTCAATCATATCTTATTCCATATAAACAAATTCAAACTATATTGAATGAACTTATGTTAGATTTTACTTCAAATGAAGATCTATGGTTAATTAAAGAGCAACATGGTACCTGGGCAGAATGTGAATATTACTATGCTGGTTCATTGAAAGATGTTATTTATTCACTTCTGATCCAATATGTTACTGGACATGCAGGTAACAATGTTCAAAGAAATGAATTCAATGATATTGATTTAGATTTCATTGAATCTGAAAAAGCATCTCGCTTTGCTTCATGTATCTATAAGAAAAAAATTGAAGACACCACGGAATAAAGTAGAAACAAAACAAATTATTTGCTTCTTTAAAATGATAATTTTAAGCAAGATTTACATTACCTTGAACATATTATTTGATGAAGAAAAAGACAGAAACATATGTTCATTTGCAGAACAATTTATTTGCAACGTGTAAAATGGGAATAAATATTTTTTTAATAATAAAGAGGATCTTATGAATTGTATGCAAAATGAAATATCGATCAGAATATTATCTAGTGACAATGAATCTGTCTATATTAAAGAGAATTTTCATGTATATCTATGCGCCGTGATGCTGAGCATGAATCGATCGCGAACTTTTAAGATTCCGTTAGGTCTTGACTGTGATCATTTTCAGTTAATTAATAAAAGGAAGTAGAAGTCAAAATAAATGATTTCACACTTGACTGTGGTAGGTCGACATACAAAACAAAGAATAGTATACAGACTGAAAGTCTGCAGAAATATTCGAACTGGAATTTAATCATGCTTTAGGGTACCTCAAACTTTGCCCATATACCTCTAGAAATACGAGAACAATTACCCCAATATTCAACACTATCTGAACTGCTTCCAACGCGAAGCATTCATTATGGATACTCAGCGAGAATTCGGGTCCAGTGCATTTCTGGATGAGACATCATATTTGATTTGATATCATCATCTTCATTATCAATAAAAGACTACTAAGGCTGTAGATGCGTGGATGTGGGTGGGTGTGGCTGTCATTGAAAATAAGATCCACACTCGCACCTCAATATTTGTTGTCGTAGCTGCTGTTTAACGACAATCTTCTATCAGAGTCGACATAAAACGACAAACTAGATTGAGTAGCTTACCACCACCCTCCATAATGATGTTTATGAGCTACTTCACATTTTCAGAATGTAGCTCCTGCACATAAAGCACACGCTTATATAGAAGAGAGAATCAGAGAGAGAGAGAGAGATGAGCACAGAGAAGAACAATAAAGATAGATGAACACAAGAAAGAACAATCGAGAGAGCATAAAGAGGAAAGAGGAAAGGAAGATCAGCGAAAGGTAATATCAATATCAGCACACATATGAAGAAGAATAAAACTTTTACAATGCTACTTCGTGCTCTGAGATATTGTTCAACATTGCTAGCATATTTAAATGAGCGTGAAAAGCTACGAATGGCACAGTCTTTAAATAAATATCCAAAAAAGTTTAAAGATGAACAATTTAACAGTGTACTATTATCTAAACTCAGTATTAATGAATCATTAACTTTCAATAATTACAATATACTTCGTCAAAAAATTATGGAGACTCCCATGAAAGAAAAAACTGTCAGGTGACTATGAAAAAAACAATATTTACTCATTTTAACTACTTATTGCTCGAACGTGAAATTGTTTCCCGAAAAATTGCATTCTCTCTGGAACAAGTATTATAGTGAAACTTCAATCAATGAATTTGTTTCAGTACTCGATACACAAAATGCAAATAACCTTCAAAAACGTTTAGTACATATTAGAGCAATCAATAATATATTTGCATCATAATGTAGTACTATAATTTGATCAATATAAAGCATACTAATTATCTTTGATTCGGTGCAGTTACATATAAAGTTATTATTATATTAAAAAAGCCGTTAACAGTTCATACATATGAAGCGTTATGCATCAATATAACAAACACCTCATATATTCTACTTGCAATGACATAATGTCTATCCTTCATATGATTTGCCATGCATTGGTAGATCACATGTATCATATAACTTCAATTAATTACAGACCACTTGTGACATAAGACACAATATTTTTTAAGTATATCACATGTGGCTATAACTTTGATGTGAAGCAGCAAACATACTTTATGATTTTATTATTATTTATTACTTCCTATTATTTGATATAAATATTTTACGTCTTCATTTCAAACACGTGTATTATGTCTTGATATGATACACATAACTTCTGATTTCATCTAAAATACGAGTTTTATGCTTTGATACCCACGTTTTATTTTTTGATAAAATACACGTGACTTATATTTTGATACGATAAACGTGCTAATAGAATAATACTTTGATATTTCAGATAATTGTTACAAATGCGAATAGATTGAATCTAAAATTTAGCTATAATAATGTCTACTATAATGTGTAATTAACCAGTCAATTTATTAATCATTTAATATTTCTTAATTGTTTCTATTTTATATATTTTTCGAAAAAAATAATGGGTAGACTAATAATCAATAAAACTATATTTATATGATTATTCCTAACACTTTTTATCAATTTAATTAGACAATAATACGTTTTTAGAAATATAATAGTTGTAAATATTACTTTTTAATAATTTTTTATTATATTCATTAATAATTCATAACCAATGTTTACTGTGAATCGATTCATATTTTTAAAGAGAAATTAATTAGCAATTGAAAAAAAAACAGATATTAAGTTTTCAATAATAAATTTATTACTTTACTTCAGCAATGTGGAATCTAGGCTTAAATATATGATACAATAGTTGAATTGATTTAGAAATTGTTATTTGAATTTAGATATGAGTTGATGAATTAAATGATTGCCTATATTCGTATTGTATAACATTTAAAATGATCTGACACAATTTGATTCGAATATAAGTATCTTGCC